GTCTCCATGCTGATTCTGTAAGTGAACAGACTGTGTCTCAGGTTCAAAGGGAAAACTGGGTAGCTGAGTCTGCAGAGCAGAACAGCTGTGTAGTTAATCTCTCGAGAATGCAGGGGATGGTAGGTGTACTCTCATCTCTAGACACTTTGGATATGACTTGTGGTCTCTCAGTGAATTTAACATCTAATCCCTTGAAAGCAGAGGTTGCTAAGGGAAGTCACAGGGTAACCCTAAAAGGCCCAAACCCCAATGGTATTGAGCCAAAGGTGTGGCATGACAAACATGATTGTAGATGGACACTTGCAATAAATTTGTTGTTATTGCTAATGGTAATTTTTGTAACTAATGTGTTACTATTACTAAAAACTGTAAAAATGTACAATGTGCCTAATCTTTTGGAAAATCTCTTGAACATGTTAAAAGGAATATATGAGAACACACTTTATGTTAAAAGGCCTTGTTATACTGATGTTTCACAGTTAATGCCTGTAAACAGTATTGGAACTTTTCACAAGGAAAAAGATATTCCAGACCTAATGTACTGTTTGAAAAGGGAAACTGAGGCACACTACTATAGTGCTTTCATGGCTAAATGCCAAAATTCCTATACTATGAACAACATTAATATCTACATTGATTTCATGTTAATTGGGTTCCAAACATTTGCCAGAGCTTGTATGGATAAAGGAGCTGTTTTCTTTAGCTCTTGGCAAGATCATGTAAGACATACAGAAACCATGCTGCAAAAGCAGATCCAATCCACTATTGTTCTAACTAAGTTTTACCTTGAGTTTGTAAAGAAATTCAATCATGTTATTGAACATGACTTTGATGAACCATTTCTGTTGTACACTGGTGCAACTTCTAACCCAATACTAGCTGTAGTGAGACAGACCCAAGAATGGGGAGCTCTTGGGATGAAGTCAGTGATGTTTGTGTCATCCATTCCTGCATCAATTTTGCATTGGGGGTGTCACGTTATTGATTTGAACTGGGACCATATAGAATATGGTTGCAACCAAAGTCCTGTAGTGGCACCAAATCTTGTATAAAGGGGGTCAAATGAGGTGTCTAAGACAAGGTTATGGTTGGCTGGTTATGATTATGCTGTCTATATGTGTGTATCAGTTTTGTAGTTGAAGTTTTGAATATTGGCTCTATACTGTCTGTATTTCAAACTTACGCTATGCTTCTGGGAAACTTCCCTGACAAGTTGGTGTTAGCTCTGCCTAGGCTGCTTGCTGGCCCATTAAGGACCACCAGCTATACAATTGCCCTATTGAGAGAAGGAAAATATGCCTTGCAACTCAGCAAAGTATGCAGGAACTGGCCCATGTGACTCCAGAGTCCATTTTGCTGTAATTTTCCACAGTAAG